TTTCCATGATGGTTGGACAAATTTACATTCCCATCAACAGTGTACAAGGGTTCCATTTTCTCCACAACCTACATGTTATCTGTTGTCTTTTTTTTTTTTTTTTTTTTTTGAGACGAAGTCTCCCTCTGTCGCCCAGACTGGAATGCGGTGGCATGATCTCAGCTCACTCCAACCTCCACCTCCCTGGTTCAGGTGATTCTCCTGCCTCAACCTCCCGAGTAGCTGGGATTATGGGTGCCCACCACTACACCTGTTGTCTGATTTTTGTATTTTAGTAGAGATGGGTTTTTGCCATGTTGGCCAGGCTGGTCTCAACTCCTGAGCTCAAGCAATCCACCTGCCTCGGCCTCCCAAAGTGCTGGGATTACAGGCTTGAACCACCGCACCCAGCCATCTGTTGTCTTTTTGATAATAGCCATTCTGGTTGGGCATGATGGCTCATGCCTCCCCTGGGAGGGGGAGGTTGCAGTGAGCCAAGATCGCGCCACTCTACTCCAGCCTGGGTGACAGAGGGATATTATGTCTCAAAAAAAAAAAAAAAAAAAAATTAGAGAAAAATAAGAATAATCAAACGTGAGATATGATTAAAACAGACTCAGAAGAAAGCTTATAGACATAAATACAAGTATGAGAGAACAAAAAAGCTATAAAAAATTAGGCATGCTATTCAAAAAAAGCTAGAAAAAGAATATACATCTCCCAAATTTTAAGAAATAAATCAATAATGATAAAAATGAAACACAATGATATGGGTATTAGAAGTGTTCATGAAAAATAAAGAAAAATGATATTAAAAATCAAACAATGGGCCAGGCGCGGTGGCTCAAGCCTGTAATCCCAGCACTTTGGGAGGCCGAGACAGGCGGATCACGAGGTCAGGAGATCGAGACCATCCTGGCTAACACGGTGAAACCCCGTCTCTACTAAAAAATACAAAAAACTAGCCGGGCAAGGTGGCGGGCACCTGTAGTCCCAGCTACTCGGGAGGCTGAGGCAGGAGAATGGCGTAAACCCGGGAGGCAGAGTTTGCAGTGAGCTGAGATCCGGCCACTGCACTCCAGCCTGGGCGACAGAGCGAGACTCGTCTCAAAAAAAAAAAAAAAAAAAAAACAATGATACAGAAAAAGAGCAGTGAAATATGAGAAAAAGAAGACAATAAAACTAAAAGTTGGTTCTGTGAAAAATTCAATTAAAAAAAAGTATAGGTAAACAGTAATTGATACAAGAAAAGGGACAAATCCCTTCAGACGTGGACATAAAAAAAGTAAGATGATTTTGTATCAGTAAATTTGACAGCCTATGACAAATTATTTTCTATGGAAGAATAAAGTACCATAATTGGTTAAAGGCATTAAAAACCTGAATGGACTAATAACCACACAAGAGACGGAAAAGTTGTCAAATATACTCATAAAATAGTGTTGGGTCCAGAATGACTTTAATAGGTGAAATTTTCACACCTTTATAGAACATTTTGGCCCTAAGTTATGCTTTCCTAAATAATATGAAACTGTATATATACCTACTATAGACATGGTGTCACTCTGTTGCCCAGGCTGGAGTTCAGTAGTGTGATGAGTTTCTTGGTTGGCTGCAAACTGGTGCATTCACTGAGGTGGGGGAACCCTGGAGGAGGAACTGGGGGATGAGGGATGATGAGATTAGTTTGGAACATTTTGGATTTTAGGCTCTTGTGGAATAATTAGAAATCAACAGGCAGTTTCAAATGCACACTGCCTGGCCAATAGGAAGCACTATTGCCATGAGTATTATTACATCTGGACTGCAGAAAGAGATATGGGAGTGTCTTACAGGAGAGTGGTGAGATACACAAGAAGAATAATAATGTCAGCAATAATACAGCACTTATTTTGACTTAGTTTGGTACAGAACTGGACTCTGTCCATAAAAAGAGTCAAACTCTGTAAAATAGTTAAAGAGATTTATTCTGAGTTAATATGAGGACCAGCGACCCACGACACAGCCCCAGCGGGTTCTGAGATCTTGTGCTCAAGGTGGTCGGGCTACAGCTTGGTTTTATATGTTTTAGGAAGATAAAAGATATCAATCAATAAATGTAAGATGTACATTAGCTCCATCCGGAAAGGAGGGACAACTCGAAGTGAGGAGTGTGGGGGTACCTTCCATAGGGTGGATTCAAAGATTTCTTTTTTCTTTCCTTTTCTTTCCTTTCCTTTTCTTTTCCTCTTCTTTTCTTTTCTTTTTGTTTTTTGGTTTTTGGTTTTTTTGAAGATTTCTAACTGGCAATTAGTTGAAAGAGTTATTACCTAAAGACCTGGAATCAATCGAAGGGAATGTCTGGGTTAAGATAAGAGGTTTTGGAGACCAATGTTCTGGGTTAAGATAAGAGGTTTTGGAGACCAATGTTCTTATTATGCAGATGAAACCTCGGGGTAGCAGGCTTCAGAGAGAAACGATTGTAAATGTTTCTTATCAGACTTCAAAAGGTGCCAGACTCTCTTAGTTAATTATCTCCTGGATCAAGGAAAAGACCTCGAAAGTGAAGGGGATTCTTTACAAAAGGATGTGGATTTTCGCCACAAGAGACTGCTTTACAGGGCCATTTCCAAATATGTCAAATAAATACATTTTAGGGTAAAATATTTCAGGACCTGTTATCTGTCACGTGAGACTATACTAGTCAGGTTAGAATTTGGTGTCTTATTGCTATAAAGAATTTGTTTTGGGCTGGGCGCGGTGACTCACGCCTGTAATCCCAGCACTTTGGGAGGCTGAGGCGGGCGGATCATGAGGTCGAGTTCAAGACCAGCCTGGCCAACATGGTGTAACCCCCTCTCTACTAAGAATATAAACATTAGCCGGGCGTGTTGGCGGGCGTCTGTAATCCCAGCTACTCAGGGGTTGTGGCAGGAGAACTGCTTGAACCCGGGAGGCGGAGGTTCCAGTCAGCCAAGATCGCACCACTGTACTCCAGCCTGGGCGACAGAGCAAGACTCCATCTCGGGGGGGGGAAAAAAAAAGTTGGAATCAGTCTCCAGATCTCTGTTTTTATGTTCATGCTGGTTCGTAGTGCCTGAATTCCAAGAGCAGAATGAGGCAAGTCCGATCCCCTGCTTCCCATCATGGCCTGAACTAGATGGCCAGGTTTTCTTTGGAAAGTTTCGGCGGAGAGGAGTGGTCCATTCAGTTGGTTGGGGGACTTAGAATTTTATCTTTGGTTTACAGAACTGTCGCATGAATTGACTCAGTTAATCCACTGAATTTATAAATTACAAACTTTTACCATTCTCAATTGATAAATTGAGGCAACAATTTAAGTATAACTTGAGCAAGTCCATACAGAGTGGGGCCAGGAACGCAGACAATGAGACCCCATACCCCATGGTCTTAGGTCACAGTCATTAAGTGGGAGACAGGGGCTATACATTCATTAGAATGTTAAGTTAGGAATTAAGTAAATTAGGTAAGGAGTTAGGAATTAAGTTAAGTTACGAATTAATTGTTAAATATGGAGGAATTTATCATGTAGTTGGGGTACTAAGACATAAGAGAAAATAATAATAAACCAGGCGCGGCCGGGCGCGGTGGCTCACGCCTGCATTCCCAGCACTTTGGGAGGCCGAGGCGGGCGGACAGCTTGAGCTCAGGAGTTCGAGAACAGCCTGCACAACACAGCAAGAACCCTGTTTCAAAAACAAAAGCAAAAAAAAAAAAAAAATTAAAATTAAAAAACAAACCAACCAGGCGCAGAGCGGTTATGGAGAAGGGAAGCAAAGGGTGGGAGTTTGGTTTCGGGGGAACCATAGAGAAGGGCCAGCCTCCCGGCTTCCTAGAGAGGCCGTAGGGACCGACGGCGGGCTAGCTAGTGCTTCCGTTTTGGCCGCCTTGCGAGCGCTTGGGTTGAGTTTCCCGGGCTGCCCCGACTCGGCTGCCTGTTCTGGAGGTCGGGCGTTGGGCCCTTGCAGAGATCGCCGAGGGGCCCGCGCGGCCGCCCGAGCCTGGGCCCAGTCCCCAGTCCTCAGAGACGCACTCGACCTTCCTGCTCCGAAGAGCTGGCCTGATGTCCTCGGGTCGCGGTATTCTTGGGAAGGATGGGAGCCGTGACTATAGGGTCTCCTGTTCCCGGGGTGGAGTGTTCAGATCCCGGTTAGGTCTTCGGTCAGCATCACCCGCTGGGACATTGAGCGTCTTACCCTTGTCACCCGGGGCTAGGTCACCACTTGCATTTTGTCCTGCAGCCTGTGGTTTGTTTAGGGGTCTCCGTTATATCCTACTTTCTCTCCAGAGACTTGTTTTGGGTTTTTGCCACGATCACTAGAAGCATTCAGTCAATACAAACTACTTAGTAATGTATTCATAGTGGGGCCAAGAAGTTTTCTTTCTTTTTTTTTAAACAGCCACGCATCCACTGCAGTTCTTGATTCTTGCTTTACAGATATTCTTTCTAGAGTCTCCAGTGTCACCGAGCAGATCTATAGGAGAATATGCAGAGGGAGCATTTGCAGCATCCCATGAATCAGTGGAGAGGGTGAATGAGAACAGCTAGTGTGCCAAGAATATCTGCAGTGCTAGTGGCAGGAGACAGGGGAAGAGGCGGCAAGTGTAGGAGGCAGACAGGATCAGTCTCATTGTGGTTCTCTCTTAGCTCAGCAGGTTCTTACTTTTCCAAACCTAGAGGGCAGTGCATGAAGCCAGGAGTCATCAGCCATGCTCCAGACAGTGTGGTTCCAGGTGAGCAGAGCTTTCTTTCAGCTTTCCGTACTCAGAACAGATATGGAAGGTCAGTACAGGCCCAGTAGCCTGACTTGACCAGTCCCATGCTTAGTTTTACATCGACAGACTATGTAAAAACAGTATGCGAGGGGAGTTGAAGAACTAGAGTAGGTGAACTTTGGAGGGTTAGGTGGGTTGGAAAAAAAGGAAAGAATTATCCTAGAAAATGGGAATCTGCATTCATGAGAACTGAAAGTGTGGCCTGGAGATGAGCAGCTTTTGCATCACAGAGGTCGCTTGTTAGGTAAAATGTCAGGCCTCCTCCCCAGATCTCCTGAATCAGAATCTACATTTTTACAAGATCTGGAAAATTAAAGGGCAGATTGAAATTTGAGGAGTGCTAGCCTGCGTAACAGTACACAAAGAAAAGCCATTTCTGAGGTTAAATAGACACTTCCAAGGGAGTAGTTTACCCTTCAGACTACTCAGTTAAGGTACAGTGAAGCCAGAACTGGAAGCATTTGGAAAATATAGATTGATGAGGGAAGTGTATTTTTGGAGGAATGATGAGTTTGGAGCTGAAGCTAGTGCCTTTAGCTCAATGCAAAGACATCAGGCTAACCTCTGTGAGAGTCTATATCTTTTCCTGGCTACAAATTCATGTAGCATTGGGAGCACTTTTCCCTCCAATTTTCTTGGTGGTAGATGATAGTTTTACTGGATTTTTCCCCAGTGTCCTAGATCATGTAATGAGAAAACTGAGTTTATCATGTAATGGATGTATCTTGTAACAAGAAAGCTCCATCCCAAGGACTTAAAAACAATGTGTGTGTCCTTCTTTTGGTGGATATTGGACCATCCACTTCTGTTGGAGCACTTCAGAGAAAATCCATTCCTACAAGTCAGGAAGTGTTCTGTGGGGGTATGCTGTGCTCTCCTGGTGCTTTGCCTGAAGTGCAGTAATCACTTAGGATTAGATTCCACAAAGAGCACCCCAAATGACAGTGGATTAAACAAGGTAAAGGCTTCCCTCTCATACAAAAGTGTCGAGAGTCAATCCAGGGCTAGTGTGGCAGCTCCTCTATTATCCTGCTCTCAGACTCTGTCTTTCTGTTCTACCATCCTAGTAGTGTCTCACCTGCTCTAGGCCACTTCATTGTCCAAGGTGGCTGCTTGATCGCTGGCCATCATGTGTGCATTCCAGCTAGAAGAGGAGCTGCCAAAAAAAAAAAAAAAAAAAAAAAAAAGGTGAACCTCTCTCTTTTAGGAACCTTCCCATAAGTCCCCAACAATATTTATACTTGCATTTCATTGGCCCCACTGGGTTGCCAGGGCTGAGTACAACCTCAAGTAAAATTAGGATTCCAATACTAAGAAAGAAAGGGGCTACAAACACACACCTCTCAGTCTTTGCTACAATCTCTAAGAGGAACATTTGTCATTTAGAATCTTCTAGGAAGTTCCCCCAGTCGCATCTGTGGTTGTAGTAAGTGCTGAGATTTATATGATATCATGTGCCAGGTGATATCTTAGTGCCTTACAGATAATAACTTAAGCCATCCTTGTAAGAGTCATATCAGATAATTACTATTATTATCCCGGTTTTACAAATGGGGGCAACTGAGGCACAGAAAGTTTAACTGTCTCATCCAAGGTTAACAACTAATGAGTATTAGAGATACGATTTGAACCTAGGGAGTCCAGCTTAGAGCAAGGTTTTTCAACCTTGGCATCATTTACATTTGGGCCAGATAATTCTTTGTTTGGAGGATGTCCTGTTCATTATAGGATGTTCAGAAATAGCCCTGGCCCACTATCTACTAGATGCCAGTAGCACTACCATTACCACCACACTGCAGTTTTGACAACTAAAAATGTCTCCAGACATTGCCGCATACTCCCTGGGGGAAAAAATTGCCCCCATGTTAAGAGCCACAGCTTTAACATCTGTGCCATTTGCCACTTGTATGTTGTGCTGCCCTTGTAACCCACTTCCTATAGAAGGGAGTCAATAGCCCCACTTAATGGAGAAAGAGTAAGTGCAAGTAAAGGACAGAAGAAGAATAATCACAGATAGAGAAGATCTGGAGAAGCTAAGTGTTTCCGAAAACACGGAACCAAAGAATGTTCTGATAATTAGAGTGATGTTTCAGAGGTATGGAGAGGTAGAACATAATGTGAAGAAAAAGGGAGATCCATATTCCCAGCTCTTGATTCTGAAGGAAGTAAGACAAGAGTATTAACAGATGTATTTATTCTGCACTGTCCAGGAAAGTACCCCCTAGCTACATGTGCCTATTTAAATTAAAATCAATTAAATTTCCTCAGTCATGCCAGCCACATTTGAACTTTCTCGCTAAGGGGTAATCTGATTACTGTATAGTTACTGTTTTCATCTTGTAACTAATAAGCAATCTATGAGGAGACATTTAAGGTCGTGCGAATATTCTGCTTCTCATCAAAATTTCCTCCTAGATATAGCATCCATGATGATTTTTGACCAAACCAATCTTTACAATGATGAATACAAATCTTCTAGTACTTCTTCTTCTTCTTTTTTTTTTTTTTTTTTGTTGAGATGGAGTCTTGCTCTGTCTGTCGCCCAGGCTGGAGTGAGTGGTGCGATCTTGGCTCACTGCAAGCTCCGCGCCCTGAGTTCAGGGCTTTCTCCTGCCTCAGCCTCCCGAGTAGTTGGGACTACAGGCACCCGCCACCACGCCCGGCTAATTTTTTGTGTATTTTTAGTAGAGACGGGGTTTCACTCTGTTAGCCAGGAGGGTCTCGATCTCCTGACCTTACAATATGCCCGCCTCGGCCTCCCAAAGTGCTGGAATTACAAGCGTGAGCCACGCGACCAGTCCAAATCTTCTAGTACTTCTATGTTATATTTCTTCACTCAGAAGAGACTTAAGTACAAAGAGAAGGTTGTTGACATGATGAACTGAGAAAGACTACAGTGTGAGTCAGAGAGAGATGTTATAGTGGGACTAATTCATATAAAAGTGGTCAGTTCATTTTGCACTTTTTGCTTCCTTATACAACCTTACTATAAATACTCAAAGAGGACTCCTTTTAGTCTATTTCAAAGTGTTTAATATTGCTGATTCCCATCATCTGAAAATGGACATAATAATTCTTATTTCACAGATGTGCTATAATGATTGAGCAAATTGATTTAAAAGTAGCTGACACAAAGCTCTAAACAACCTGTGATGGTTTCCTTCTTCCCTGAGAAGCTGGAAGTGGTTTTAGTGGGAAGCAGAAATAGAGAGACACATAGTGAAGAGGACAGCATTGGCAGGTCAGACAGAGCTTAGGTGATCAGTGGGCAGATCTCTGCAGAAGGATGGGAGATTGCCATCCTGTCCTGGAGTGAAGTATGTTAGGAGACAAAGAAGTAACATTGCACATCACTTTCAAGGGAGAACTATTAATACCTTCTGATAAGGCAAGATGATAGAAAGGGGAGAAATATCCAGGATGAAAGGAACTTTATCCCCTTGAAATCACTCCTCTGTCTGTAGCAGAAAATCTAGAGGAGGAAGACCAGAAAGAAGCTGAGTGGAGGACCCTGATAGGTGCTTCAGGATGGATGGAGGCACTGTGAAAGACGATTACCTGCTGTGGTCGATTTAGAAAGCATGCCAGAAAAATATACCTGGCCTGTGGAACCAGACATAGGTTGACATGATCACCAGGCAGAAAACAGCAGGTGCTGGGCTCTGTGCTTAGGATGGTAATATTAGGGCCCCAGAGGTATGCACATGGAAAGTTGGAATGCTGGTCTGGGGCTGCCCCTGCTGGGGTCCTGTGTGGCTCTCCTTGCCAGTACAAACCTTCCATGGGGCTCAGTGCCATGAATTCCAGTAAATGTATCCCTTTCCTAGAATTCAGGCCTCTCCCTCTGTTCTTGTGCAGGGTTTGAGCAGGAACCTGTTGTTTCAGGAGCCAGTGACCTTTGAAGATGTGGCTGTGTACTTCACCCAGAATGAATGGGCCAGCCTGCACCCTATGCAGCGGGCCCTGTACAGGGAGGTGATGCTGGAGAATTATGCAAATGTGACTTCCTTGTGTAAGTCCTTCCTCTCTGAAACTCAGCTTCTGCCCTTGGGGGCTCTTAAATTCCTCCTTAGCAGATCTAGGATGTCTTAATACCATCAGAATTGATGCCCTATGGGCTGAGCTCCCTAATCCCCAGTGCCAGGAGTAGCTGGATGGAGAAAGAGCTGAGTTCACTTTGATGTTTAACAGGACTTTTCTCTTCCCTGATTCCTAATGGAGACCCAACTGCAGGGGGCTTTCCTCTGAGCACAGAGAGAACTGAGAAGGTTCCTGGTGCACTGCCTTCATTCCTTCCATCTTCCAGTTCCCTGGAGGTGATCTTGGCCCTATTGCCTATGTGTGAGTCCCCTAGGGTCCTTGTGTATACACCCCCCAGTGACTGTAGGAGCTTTCTGTCCTCTTAGAGGCCAGAGTAAGCTTCAAGCCCTTCATTAGATTCTGCAGATTCACTCCTCCCTGACTTCACTTAGTCTCCTGGGCCATTCTCTTCTATTTTCACCTGGCAAAGCAGAGAGTAGTCAGAGGGAGGTCAGTGGTGATTCTCCTCAGCTTCCTGTTTTTCTTTCTCCTCTAGCAGCATTTCCATTCTCCAAACCAGATCTGATATTCCAGCTGGAGCAAGGAGAAGCAGCATGGGGCCCAGATCCCTGGACACTTGCTGGGGGAGAGGCCCTGAGAGGCATGTGCACAGGTGAGCAGGAAAGCCTACCATCCTCCTTTCCAGCTTTGCCTCCTCCTTTCTTTTAACAATTTAGCATGAAAAAGAGTTTTTCCTTGTCATATGATGGTTGTGGGCATTAAAATAGTCACTCTTATTCAAAGAAGTGTTGCTTACCAGAACTTCATCTCCAAACTGGAAAAGACCACTCCCACCATTTTATTTCTGCCATTTTTCTTTGTAAAGCTAAAGGATTTCAGGCTGGGTGTGGTGGCTTACACCTATATCCCAGCACTTTGGGAGGCCAAGGTGGGAGGATGCTTGAGGCCAAGAGTTCAAGACCAGCCTGAGCAACATAGCAATACCCCGTCACTACAATAAATAAATAAATTAGCTGGGCATGGTGGCATGTGCCTGTAGTGCCAGCTACTCAGGAGGCTGGGGCTGGAGGATCCCTTGAGCCAGGAGTTTGAGGTTGCAGTGAGCTAGGATCACACCATTCCACTCCAGCCTGGGTGACAGAGTGAGACCCTATCTCTTAAAAAAAAAAAAAAAAAGATTTCAAACAGGCTTCTGTTGGTTGGTCAGCTCAGGAATATAAACACAATATAGTAAGAACTTGGTTTTTGTTTTTTGTTTTTTTGTTTTTTTTTGAGATAGAGTCTTGCTCTGTTGCCCAGGCTGGAGTGCAGTGGCACGATCATGGCTCACCACAACTTTTGCCTCCTGGGTTCAAGTGTTTCTCCTGCCTCAGCCTCCTGAGTAGATGGGACTACATGCGTGCGCCACCGTGCCTGGCTAATTTTTTAGAAGAGATGGGGTTTCACTGTGTAGGCCAGGCTGGTGTTGAACTCCTGACCTCAGGATCCACGCCCGCCACCCCTGCCCTGGCCTCCCAAAGTGCTGGGATTACAGTGTGAGGCACCATGCCTGGCCAAGAACTTGGTTTTTAAAAAATTTATTTATTTGTTTATTTTTTGAGATACAGTTTCACTCTTGTTGCCCAGGCTGGAGTGCAATGGCGTGATCTTCACTCACCACAACCTCCGCCTCCCAGGTTCAAGCAATTCTCCTGCCTCAGCCTTCCAAGTAGCTGGGATTATAGGCATGCGTCACCACACCCAGCTAATTTTGTGTTTTTAGTAAAGACGCGGTTTCTCCATGTTGGTCAGGCTGGTCTCGAACTGCTGACCTCAGGTGATCCGCCCGCCTTGGCCTCCCAAAGTGCTGGGATTACAGGCGTGAGCCACCGCACTTGGCCTATTTATTTATTTTTTGAGACAGAGTTGCTCTGAAAGCTGAAGTGCAGTGCACAATTTTGGCTCACTGCAACCTCTGCCTCGCAGGTTCAAGCAATTCTCCTGCCTCAGCCTCCCAAGTAGCTGGGATTACAGGCACCTGCCACCACGCCCGTGTAATTTTTCTAATTTTAATAGAGACAGGGTTTCACCATGTTGCCCAGGTTGGTCTTGAACTCCTGACCTCAGTGCTTCTCCCACCTCAGCCTCCCCAAGTGCTGGGATTACAGGTGTGAGCCACCACACCTGGCTAGAACTTGTTTTTATAAGAACATTTTGTGTGTGTGTATAAAACTATGTATGTAAATGGAATTTTTCTAAATTCCTAAACACTGAATTTTATATTAGCTTTTGAAAGAAAGCTTGTTTATGTATTGGGAATGAATGGTTTTCTTTTTTGAAAGATACTGAATTGAGATAAATGTAAAGACCAATCAGAGATTTGGTATATAGCCTTCCTCATTCTATGGGCTCCGTTATCATATTCTGTCAATCTTTTATGCTCTTCAGAGCCTCTGTAAGGCAAATGCTCCTTTCTAATCCCCCCACTTTGCCTTAATCAATGCCTTAAATTGACTTCAGCGTTTCAGATCCTCTAGCGGCTTTCCCAGTATCCTGCCTGCAGTTGTTAGCGTTGCCCCTTGCCACAGGTGCGCATTGTCTATTTAGCCTGCCAGATGAATCACATGAGCACCCGAAGTGTGCCTAGTGCAACTGAGGAACTGAGTTTTTAATTTTATTCCATTTTAATTAATTTACACTTAAATAGCCACATGTGGCTAGTGGCCACCTTTTGGGAAAGTGCAGCCTTAAACAATGAAAAGAGCAGCCTCAATCTGTCTTTTGTAGTTTATAGATTAGTAAATTTCAAATTCTGGTATGTATCAGAATTACTTGCAGGGCTTGTTAAAACACAGATTGCCAGATGCCACCTCCAGAGATTCGAATTCAGTAGACTGGTGTAGGGCTGAGAATTTGCATTTCTTTTTCTTTTTTTTCAAGATAGGGTCTTGTTATTTTGCCTAGGCTGGTCTCAAATTCCTGGGCTCAAGTAATTCTTTCACCTCTGCCTCCTAATTAGGTGGGACTACTGGCACACACCACCAAACCCAGCCCCATTAATTTGCATATCTAACAAGTTCCCAGATGATAGTGGTCCAGGGACCACCATTTGAGACCACTGTTCTTGAAAATCTAGAACCGTATTCTTTAACTCTGGGTTGCAACTCATCAATGAGTTGTTACCAGCTTTTAAAACTTAGACTACCCTGTATTAGGTGTAAATAAAGACTAAAGTAGTATAAAGTCTATTGTGAATGCATCTTTTTTTTTTTTTTGGAGAGACAGTCTCATTCTCTCCCCCAGGCTGGAGTGCAGTGGCACGATGTTGGCTCACTGCAATCTCTGCCTCCCGGGTTCAAGCGATTCTCATGCTTCAGTCTCATGAGTAGCTGGAATTACAGGTGCCCGCCACCACACCCAGCTACTTTTTTGTATTTTTAGTAGAGACGGGGTTTTACCATGTTGGCCGGGCTGATCTCGAACTCCTGACCTCAGGTGATCCACCTGCCTCGGCCTCCCAAAGTGCTGGGATTACAGGCGTGAGCCACTGCGCCCGGCGTGAACACATCACTCTTAATAAGGACGTTGTTTTGTTTCGGTTTCAGCTGTGTGTGTGTGTGTGTAAGCACGTCTGTATTGTTTTAGGATCCAAAATGTGAGTCATGGTCAACAAGGCTTGAAAAACACTAAGATGAAAGTTTCATTTGTCAGATCTTTGGTGCTTGACAAGGCAAAAAAGATTTCTATGTTGTGGTGCTACCAGTGAAAGCATGATCCCCATGCCCCCAATCCAATTGCCATCTCCATTATGGGCAGGTTCTTGGCTGAACCTGTCTTTTTTCCTTTCAAAGGTCAGTCTCCCAAAGGACAGCACTTGGGTTTTAAAATTGTGGTCTTCTCATGACCCCTTTGTAAACAGCAGTGTTACAAACTGCTTTCTGTCCAGCCATGCTTGTGATAGAGAACTAGAGAACATTTCTTTAAAAATTACAGAATATTTTAAAGTATTTTGACAGGTTTTATTGGACTTTGAGATCCACTGTTGTAGACAGTACCTCCCAGCCCTCTGCATACTATGTGGTACTACAGCTGCCTACCCATCTTTCTCTTCTCTGGTTTAGAGATTGCTTTTCTCACTTTTGGCTTCCTCTACTTTTCTTTATTGCTTCCCCTTCCTGCAACTTCACCCCATTCCCATTTTTCTTTAACCATTTGCCTCAATAGCTTCTGCCATCCACAGTTTTTGTTTTTTGTCATCCATATGGGATTGCTTACCTTCTTAACCTTCAGTTTGTTTACTTTCCCTTTGAGGTACCATCAGGTGGCTATGTCTCTCTCAAAAAATTCATGTGTCTAGTGGGCGTGGTGGCTCACACCTGTAATCCCAGCACTTTGGGAGGCTGAGGTGGGTGGATCACCTGAGGTCAGGAATTCAAGACCAGCCTGACCAACATGGAGAAATTCTATCTCTACGAAAAATACAAAAAATTAGATGGGCATGGTAGCACATGCCTGTAATCCCAGCTACTTGGGAGGCTGAGGTAGGATAATCGCTTGAAACTGGGAGGCAGAGGTTGTGGTGAGCCAAGATCATGCCATTGCACTCCAGCCTGGGCAACAAGAGTGAAACTCTATCTCAAAGAAAAAAAAAAAAAAAATTCATGTGTCTAGGGCAGGCTGATACTGATTAATCCCTTTCCCTTCTGGCATAAATAAGGGACTCTTGTGTTTTCTTTTTATCATGCTAGGTGGTAAAACCAAGACTAAGAATGAGGAACAAACTGCACAGCTAAACATTTCTAAAGAATCAGAGTCCCACAGACTGATAGTGGAGGGACTGCTGATGAACATTCCCCAGCACCCTGACTTCAAGGACAGGTTAGAGAAGTCACAACATGATACAGGGAAGAAAACAAATATAGGGGATTGCACAGATTTGACAGTCCAGGATCATAAATCTTCCGCCATTGAAAGGGAGGAGATAGCCAGGAAATTGGAAGAAAGTAGTGTCAGCACACATCTCATTACAAAGCAAGACTTTGCCAAAGAACAGGTGTTTTATAAATGTGGTGAGTGTGGCAGTTACTACAACCCACATTCAGACTTTCACCAGCATCAGAGAATTCACACTAATGAGAGGCCCTACACATGCAAAGAATGTGGGAAAACCTTCAAATACAACTCAAAACTGTCATGGCATCAGAAAATCCACACTGGAGAGAAACCATACTCATGTGAGGAATGTGGACAAGCCTTTGGTCAAAATTCCCACCTTTTTCAGCATCAGAAGCTCCATGGTGGACAGAGGCCCTGTGAATGTACTGACTGTGGGAAAACCTTCAGCTATAATTCAAAACTGCTTGAGCATCAGAGAATCCATACTGGGGAGAAGCCCTTTAAATGTAAGGAATGTGGGAAAGTCTTTAGATGTAGCTATGACTGCATCATCCATGAACGAATTCACACTGGGGAGAAGCCCTATGAATGTAAGGAGTGTGGGAAGAGTTTGAGTTCTAATTCAATTCTGATTCAGCATCAGAGAATCCACACTGGGGAGAAACCTTATGAATGTAAAGAGTGTGGCAAGGCCTTCCACCACAGTTCAGTATTTCTTCAGCACAAGAGGTTCCACACTGGGGAACAACTCTACAAATGTAATGAATGTTGGAAAACTTTCAGTTGTAGCTCCCACTTCATAGTACATCAGAGAATCCACACTGGGGAGAAACCCTATGAATGCCAGGAATGTGGGAAGACATTCAGTCAGAAGATCACTCTGGTTCAGCATCAGCGAGTTCACACTGGGGAGAAACCTTATGAGTGTAAGGAGTGCGGGAAAGCCTTCAGATGGAATGCAAGTTTCATTCAGCATCAGAAGTGGCATACCAGAAAGAAACTCATCAATGGAACAGGGCTATCTGCAGTTAAGCCCTACTGCTCCTCCACTGTCCTCTCTCCTCTGCCTCCCCAACATGCCTGCTCTACCCCAGCCCCACCAGGGCCTCCCTTATCTTCTTCACATGCAGTGGTACTTCCTCCCTCTTTGCCTTTCTTCCTGCTGCTTCCCTCATCTGAAAAGGCCAGTCCTTCACCTGTCCAAATAGTACATTTCTTTCAGGATCTCGCTTCTTCTGGGAAGTCATCCCCTCATAGCCCAAATCCTTTGTCTCACTCCCTGTAAGCCCCCTTATGTTCTCAACATCAATTGCACATCAAGTTAGGGATTCCACTGGTCTCCTGATTGTGTCTATTGATATTCCTCTGGTCTTGTGTTGTATAAATTGTTACTGTTTTCCTAACTCATTTTAAGTTCTCACACTTAAGGACCATGTTTGATTAGTTTATTTTATCCCCCAGGTAGGAAATGGCAGCACTTAATTCCTTATCATGTTCACATTTGGGCTGTATTATCAGTCTGCATCTTCTGGAGCTACTGGAGTTGGAAGAATTTACAGAACATTTTGGGGTTTAGGGCATATGGCATTATGATTATGATGAGATGGGGCATTATAATTAGAGGCTAGGAGAAATGCAAAGCCTATGGGAGAAGATAATCAGATAAAGTTTCCAATGATTGCTTTCAGGAGTTTTTTTGTTTGTTTGTTTGTTTGTTTGTTTTTTGAGCCAGAGTTTCACTCTTGTCGCCCAGGCTGGAGTGCAATGGTGCGATCTTGGCTCACTGCAACCTCTGCCTCCAGGGTTCAAGTGATTCTCATGCCTCAGCCTCCTGAGTAGCTGGGACCACAGGCATGCACCACCATGCCCAGCTAATTTTGTATTTTTAGTAGAGACAGGGTTTCACCATGTTGACCAGGCTGGTCTCAAAATCCTGACTTCAGGTGATTTACGCACCTCGGTCTCCCAAAGTGCTAGGATTACAGGCATGAGCCACTGCATCCAGCCTGCTTTCAGGATTTAAGGAGGGCTATTTGGTGGACCAGTGGCAAGGCTCACTGAAAGAATTTAAAACTTGGAATTTTTTATTACCTTGATAGCATAAAAAATTATGAGGGTCCTGTTTATGCAGGAAGAAAATGAAGTGATGAGTTGGCATTGATAGCAATAATGTAAAATTATGTCTTTGAGCTTTATTGGAAGAGGACATGGTTTTTCAGTTTGGGTTCCTTCTCTATTTTCTTTTTACATTTTCCTTTTTTTTTTAGAGACAGGGTCTTGCTCTGTCACCCAGGCTGGAGTGCAGTGGTGTGATCATGGATCACTGCAGTGTTGACCTTTGGGGCTCAAGCAATCTAGGAGGTAGTGCAGCCTCCCAGCTTCTCAGAGGGCTGATGTGGGAGGATTGCTTGAGCCCCGGGGGCATACACCACCACACCCAGCTTATTTTTGTATTTTTTATTGAGACAGGGTTTTGCCATGTTGCCCAGGCTGGTCTCAAACTCCTGGACTCAAGTGATCCTCCCACTTCAGCCTCCCAAAGTGCTGGGATTACAGGCCTGAGCCACCAGTTCCAGCCTCTATTCTTTTTCATATCTGTTGAATTTCAGTACCCGCTCATATATGTAGGTACGAAAAGTGACTTGGACTTGCACCCTTTAGAGTAGATGCCTGAGTATAGTAATCTCTAAAGCTATACATGGACTGAACTTGTTGGCATCACACTGGTGAGCACCAGAGGCAAAGAGAAGAGAAACCTGACCATGACTTGCTGTAGTTCCTCAGAAGTGAGTCCATTCCTGAGGAGTTACTATGCAGGCCCTTGGATATGTTCTCACACCTACTCCAGATTTCCCTATGATTAAATCTGAATTTTATTGGTGGCAGTTTTAAGTTAATTTTATAAAGAACTGTTTTGGTGACACCAAGAAATTTTTTCTATGGTTTAAGTTTTAAGTTTCAATGTTTTTTTGTTTTGTTTTGTTTTTTGGTTGGGTTTTAGATTTACTTGGGACCAGTTACCCCTTTTTTCTTGCCTGTTTCCCCCATTGGAATGGGAATGTCTATCTTATGCCCATTTCACCATTGTATTTTGGAAGTAGATGACTTGTTTTGACTTCACAGGTTTACAGCTGGAGAGAGATTGCTATGGTTTGAATATCCCCAGCAAAATTCATGTTGAAACTTAATCCCCATTGTAACAGTACTGGGTGGGGGGCCTTTAAGAGTGATTAGAATTAGATAAGTTCATCAGGGTGGAGCCTCCACGATGGGACTGGTGGCTTTATGAGGAGAGGAAGAGCAATGTGAACTGGGACACATGCTTGCTCTGTCTTGCCTTTTGATGCCTCCTACCATGTCATGATGCAGCAAGTAAGCCCTCACCAGATGCCTGCACCTTTATATTGGACTTCTCAGCCTTCAGAACTGTGAACTAAATAAACCTCTATTCTGTATAAATTACCCAGTATATGGTATTCAGTTAGAGTCACACAAAATGTAACAAGAAAGAATACTGGTAGTCATAAGTAGGTTTGCTGCTCTGACATTTACATAAAAATGTAGAAGTGGCTTTGGAACTGAGTAATGGGTGGAGGCTTGAAAAATTTGGAAGATCAGGTCAGACAAAGCCTGTATTATCTAATGGAGCATTAAGGGTGATTTTGGCCAAGGCTTAGAAGAGAAGACTAGGGAAAGTCTGAAACTTCTTAGAGATTACAGTTGGTCCTTGAACAACTTGGGTTTCAACTATGTGGGTCCACTTATGGACTTTCTTCTGCCTCTGCCACCCCTGAGATGGCAAGACCAGTCCCCGTCCCCTCCCCGTCTCAGCCTGCTTAACATGAAATGACAAGGATAAAGACCTTTATGATGATCCATATAATATAGTGGATTATATTTACTAAATATAATTTCTCATGATTTTCTTAATATTTTCTCTAGCTTTATTATAAGAATATAGTATCTAACGTATAACATAAAAAATATGTGTTAATGACTATATTTCAGTAAGGCTTCTGGTCAACAGTAGACTATTAGTAGTTACATTTTTGGGGAGTTAAAAGTTATACGTAGCGTGGAAGTTGATGTCCGTAACCCCTGAGTTGTTCCAGGGTCAGCTGTACTCAGGTGATCATGACAAGAATGTTGATATAAATATGGGCAGTAAAGGCCATTCTGATGAGGTCTCAGATGGAACTGAATAAAATGGTATTGGAAACTGGAGCAAAGGCCATCCTTGTTATAAAGTAGCAAAGAACTTGGCTGAGCTCTGTCTGTGTCAGGCTTTATGGAAGGCAGAATTTAAGAGTGATGAAATAGAATATCTGATGGAAGAAATGTCTAAGCAACAAAAGCATATAGGCTATTGCATGGCTAGTTTGAACTACTTACAGGAAAATAAGAGGGAAGAGATGATTTAAAGACAACTTATACTTGAAAGGGAAGTAGAGTGGAAAGATTTGGAAAACTCACAGCCTAGAAAACTGCCACCCACACCCCCAAACTATAGAGCTACCAATGTGCAATACCAGCCTGGGAGAGCTGTGATCATGAGACCCAAACCTCAGAGAGTTGAAATGTGGACCCAGCCCAGCAAAGACATAGGGGTGGGGCTGCCTGAGGCTTTGGAGGCCCAAACTTCTGAGTGTGTCCAGAAGATTGCACATGGTCTGAAAGAGCATTCTGAAGTTTTAAGATTTAATGTTTTTTGTTTTGTTTTGGTTTGGTTTTTGTTTGGGTTTTAGACTTACTTGGGACCAGTTACCCCTTTTTTCTTGCCTGTTTCCCCCACTGGAATGGGAATATCTATCTTATGCCCATTTCACCATTGTATTTTGGAAGTAGGTAACTTGTTTTGACTTCACAGGTTTACAGCTGGAGAGAAGTCACTTGAGGAGGAATTATCCCTTGAGTTATGCCCTTATCTGATTCAGATGACACTCTGGACTGTTTGAGTTGATAGCTAAGTGAATTAAGACTTTTGGGGCCAGTAGGATGGAATGAATATATTTTATTCGTGAGAAGGTCATGAGTTTGGGGTAGTTGGCAGGGGCAGAATGCTAGGGTTTAAATGTCCCCACCAAAACGCATGTTGAAACTTAATCCCCGCCTAACACGGTGGCTCACGCCTGTATTCCCAACACTTTGGGAGGTTAGGAGTTTGAGACCAGCCTGGCCAACGTGGTGAAACTCCATCTCTACTAAAAATAGAAAAATTAGCCGGGTGTGCTAGCAGGCACCTGTAATCCCAGCTACTCAGGAGGCTGATGCAGGAGAATCACTTAAACCCAGGAGGCAGGGGTTGCAGTGAGCTGAGATCATGCCACTGCACTCCAACCTGGGTGACAGAGTAAGACTGTGTCTCAAAAAAAAACAAAGAAAGAAAGAAAGAAACTTAATCCCCATTGTAACAGTATTAAGAGATGATTAGAACTAGACTTAGTCATCAGCTTGGGGCCCCCATGATGGTACTGATGGCTTTATAAGAAGAGGAAGGGAGACCTGAGCTGACATGTATGCTCTTGCCCTCTTGATTTCTGTCATGTTATGACACAGTAAGAAGGCCAGATATGGCTCCTCCACAGTTCCCAGCCCTCGGAACCATGAGCTAAATAAACTTCTTTTCTTTATAAATTACCCAATCTGTGATACTCTGTTACAGCAACAGAAAACAGACTGACACTGATCTTACCAGACATTATGATCTCACTGGTTTGGCCTACTGCCTAGAGACTAACCCTTCTCAGAATCACTGCTTCAGGGCAGTATAACGACATGCAAAGGTTTATTTATTGATTTATTATTTTTTGAGACAAAGTGCCCAGGCTGGAGTGCAGTGATGTGATCTCAGCTCACCACAACTTTCGCCTCCCAGGTTCAAGCAATTCTCCTGCCTCAGCCTCCCGAGTAGCTGGGACTACAGGCGTACGCCACCACGCCCAGCTAATTTTGTATTTTTAGTAGAGATAGGGTTTCTCCCATGTTGGTCAGGGTGGACTCAAACTCCTGACTTCAGATGATCTGCCCACCTCAGCCTCCCAAAGTGGTGGGATTACAGGCATGAGCCACTGCACCCTGCCACAAAGGTTTTTTTTTAAAAAATGAAGTGGGAATATGGTACTAAGAAAACGGCTTTTATTTTGTGTTAATGTAAAAAAAACAAATCATGAAAAATATTTCAGAGATGTTTAACCTGAGCCAATGTGAGTCACCGTGGCCTGCAGAAAACAGAAACCCAGAAAACCTTGAATAAGTAGTCCTGAGGCAGTCAGAATGTAAATTCTGTTTTATACATTTCAGGGAAGCAGAAGTTACACAAAAAACCATCAATCAATACATGCAGGTTATACATTGGTTTGGTCCCAAAAGGCAAGATATCTTGAAGCAGGGGAATACAGGTCATAGGTGGGTTCAGAGATTCTTTTTTTTTGAGACAGAGTCTCACTTTGTTGCCCAGGCTGGAATGCAGTGGTGCAATTGAATTGAGATGGGGTTTCACCACATTGGCTGGGCTGGTCTTGAACTCCCGACCTCAAGTGATCCACCCACTCCAGCCTCCCAAAGTGCTGGGAATACAGGCATGTGCTAAGATTACACACGTCAGCCACCGTGCAGGGCCAGAGATTCTTTAATTTGTAATTGTTTAGAAGAACAAAGTGTGGTCTAAGAACTTGGAGTTACCAGAAAGGAATGTTTAAGGAAGTTTGTAGCCAGGTGTGGTGGCTCACACCTGTAATCCCAATACTTTGGGAGGCCAAGGTAG